GGAAGATGAGGTGGAAAGTAAAATGTTAGCTGCACATACAGAATCACATAATCATTAGGGCTGGAAGAGATCATCTAGTCCAGCCCCCCTGCCAAGGCAGGGCCACCTAGAGCAGGTTACACAGGAGCGCATCCAGGTGGGTCTTGAATGTCTCTAGAGAGGGAGACTCCACAACCTCCCTGGGCAGCCTGTTCCAGTGTTCTGCCACCCTCAACATAGGGAAGTTCTATCTCATGTTGAGGTGAAACTTCTTGAGGTTTACTTTATGGCTGTTGCTCATCATCCTGTCACTAGGCACCACTGAGAAGAGTATGGCGCAATCTTCCTGGCATGGGCCTTTTAGATACTTATATGAATTAATGAGATCCCCTCTCTGTTTAGTCTTTTATCTATACTAAACAGGTCCCAGCACATTTGCCATTTTTTCCTTGACTTCACATGTGAACAGCTAATTCTAATCGTAATTATTACATATTTGAAACTATAACTATTTTAACTCGAAATGACCCAGTGAATATTCTCTTAATTTTCTCAGTATCTCCCTGGCAGTGTGAATAGTGGGGGGGGTGGAGGAGAGGGGGTGGTGGTTTACAAAAACAAAACAAAACAGAAAATTATTGCAATGGCACTTGTAATTGAGTGAGGTTTTACCTGTAACACCATAAAAAGGAGTAGACTGAAAAAAAAAACCTACTGACTGTCCAAATAATGCATGTATCTGTATAAAACTGTTTCCTAGTGGTGACAGAAAAAGCTCCTCAGCAATCCCAAATGCCTATTACTTGTGGTGGTGGCAGTGGTATTGTGCAGAGCACACAAATACTTATTCTAAAATCTGAAAGAGTGAAACTACAGAAAGAGAACTCACACCTGACAAAACAACTCGACATTCTACAAAGGTAAGTATAAAGCTGATCAACATGTCAAATTATTTCTTGCTATTTAGCTGTGTATGTCATCAGCATCTCTTTCTGGGAGGCCTATAGAAGTGAGTAATTACTATTAATATAAGATTTTTCTAGATACTTTCACATCAAACTTATATTTAAAGCTAGTGAGTGCCTGCTTATGTATCTTTATGGCTTTGACCTTGGTTTTGTGTTTTATTTTTTTTAATCTCTTAAATGCTAGAAGCTATACTTAAATTGTATGTTGGAAAAATTTTTATCTGAAAAAATAAATTGCCTCTGAAAGCGAGATGACAGGGATATGGTGTTGCATTGCTCTGTGTGTGTGTATGGTATGTCATCTGAAAATACAGGAACTGTCTTGTTGGGAGGGGTTTTTTTTCTTTATATAAAGGAACTACTTTAAATTTTTCTTAATTAAATGCTGGGGTGTGTTTTGTTTCTATTTTTCAGTAATGAGCGTCAACTGAAAGAGGAAGTTAGAAAATGGAAAGAAAGAGCACTAAAGAAAGAGAAACTCTTGAGAGAAAATGCTCGAGAGATGATACCGAGTTCCCCAAAGAAGACAGTGTCATATTCCCTTAAAGAACAAAAGCCTTCACCTGCCAAGGAACCCATTTCCCAGGAGGCTGTGACTTCAGAGGCAGTGAAGACTCTGCCACCGACTTCTGCAACAAAAGTATTTGGTAATTCCAGCTTGGGTACACTTACAGGTGTGTGACACAGTGATAGTGTCCTGTAAAGGCTTGGAGGGGTAAAATATAAGGAGTGGTCTGTGAGATGAGGGTGGTAAATACTCTGTACTTCCTATATTCTGGCCTGAAGTTTGCATGATAACACAATTTTCCTGAGTGTTTTTCTTTTGTTGTAAATCTTTAGTTTCTTTTGGTTTTTGTGGGGTTTTTTTACTTTTGTTGGAAGTTTTTATGACTGACTTTTTAATTAGCAAAATATTGTTACATCATACACATATAATTACACATAGTGTTGTGAATGTTCCATCCCTGGGTGGTGTTCAAGGCCAGGTTGGACAGAGCCTTGGGTGACATGGTTTAGGTCATGAGGTGTCCCTGCCCATGGCAAGGGGGTTGAAACTAGATGATTGTTTTCAACCCTAACTATTCTATAATTCTATTTTATGATTACCAGGTAGCTGATGCTCTACACTGTTTTGCTTTTTAACTTTACATTGGTCAAACACAGACTTCTGGCAAAACTGTTTGAACTTATCTGCTGGTTAATGTTTTTTTTTAAACTTCAAAATCATAGACTCCAGTCTCTGTTGCATCTGTCTGTCTGCCTGGCTTCAGCTGCAGTAGTAGCTGTCTAGATAACTTCTGTTCCTCAGCCCTACTCAAGATTTCTTACATCTGAGGAAGTCTCCTAGTACTCTACACTAGCATGTTAATGCTACTGCCCTCATCATTGCACTTGCTTTTAAAAACCTCTAGGAGACATGTTGGAAAGTTAACCAGTTTTCAACGGACTAATGGCAGACTTCCAGAAAGAATATAATCCATTGCAGTTCCTTGTGGTACTGTTACCAAGCTCCTCAGAGGCAAGCTTTGATAGAGGACATTTGAAACACTGGTCAGGATTGAATTGCTGTATTCCTACTGCTTGTCTAATTGGGAGAGTTTAAGTGTTACTTTAACATTCTTGTCTTCTGTATAGGTACACAGCCTGCGGGAAAAGAGCCCCCAGAAGAACATCTTAAACACTGGCTTGGACCTTCAAAGAAAGACAAAGCCCCTGATTGTATTCCCCAGTAAAGTTGTTTTGTTGTAAGCTGGCTTTACTGTCACTGCAGCCAGAACCTGTGTATATGAAAGAGAAGTACTTCAGGTCAAAATCAATCAGCCTCTCAAATTGTGAGAAAAGCACTCGCATGCAGATAACTTGCTATCTTGGAGTTGCTACTTCCCACAATTGGAAAAGCTGTCTTGTTGCCTACAAACTGCTGTTCTGATGATGTTCTGCTTTGGTGGCTTGTTTCTTTCCTGGATGGCAAAGAAAGAAAAGCTAATGTATTAAAGAAAAGGAAATGGGAATGGAACATTAATCTACTGTGAAACTTCTCACTCATAAATTCAATTCTGTCATTCCTAAACCAGCCCTCTTCTGGGTGGGCAATACTTGTGTCTTCAGAGTGCTGTTGAGTTGGAAAGAACTATGCTTTTTGTTTCTTAGCATACAGTTTTTATACCATGCTTTTTCTAAGTCCACAGAAACTGCATTTTCACCACAATTTTAACCTATCTGGACATTGCAACTGAACTCACCAATTTTCTGTTTATAGGGCGCATTCAAGGGTTCCTTTTAAGCACCTTACAGTATTTCTAAATTCAGCTAGGTGTGGTACCAAGAATAACTTTGTACTGTTCATCATCTTTCAGAATACTTCTAGTGCCTGTCTGAAGTTGCTACTGGAATTATTTTTAATAGTAAGCAGTGGACCTGATATTTCTCTGCTACTCTAGTGAATTGAAAATGAATGGTGATCAGTGCTGCAAGACACACTCTTTTAATAGCCTGCTTATCTTCATTGTTCGACCTACTTTATGTTTGTGTTGTATAATAACATTTGTTTTGGCAATAAAATGTTAAGTATTTAAAAATATATTTGTTGTTCATTTTTGCTATGTTCTAAGGGTGTTTGATTACAATATTCAGTGTCTAAGAACTCTCTTTTTATAGTAATCACATCACTTCCATCATTATCTTGCTTCTTGTCTTCTGCCATCTAACTTTCTGCAATAATTATTTTGTGTGGAAGTTTACTGTTGGTGTTTAATTTAATTTTTTGAGTCTGTCAGGAAATGTTTGGGGTCTAAAAGATAGTTCTTCTTCACATGCCCTCCACTGCCAACTAAATAGGAATTTGGCACTCAAAACCGAAGATCAACTCTGTTTAAGAACAAAATAATCATCGTGATACAAGAGTCATATTTAGGGAAGGTACATGTATCAAAATCATAATCCTTATTTTATATGAATAAAGCTTTTGATGCAGGTGTCTAAGTATTCTGTTTTGGGTTACCCAAACTGATAAGCAAATGGTTACACTGACATGTTTCCTGGCATGCAGCAGTTACAGTCATCGGAAGAGTTGCACAAGGATTATTTATGTGATGGAGGTCTTTAAGAGGTATCTAAAAGAACCAACTACCTTTTGTCCTGAATAGCTGAAAACTGTACTAACTACTGTAACTACTAAGAAATTGCAAACATTTTTCTCCGTCTTTGACATGAAATGTATTTTAGGAAGCTTTTAAAGATATTGCTAGCCACAACTACACAGGTTCTCACTACTATTAATGTGTTCAGCAATGAACTGTCTCCTTTCCTAACACAGCCATGGGCACGTAGGAGCAGTTTATTTCCTGACAGTGATATATGTGAAGTACTGATGCTTTTGTGGTGGTGTTCTTTAATTTGTTTGGTTTGAGGTAAATTGGTTGGCGTTTGGATTTTTTTCTTTAGTTTTTTTGGGGGTTTTTTGTTTTTTCAATTTCCACCATGATTGAAAGATATTTCCTTTACCAGCTTTTTTTGTCTTTATTCGTTCCATCTTGGTGCTTTAATAAATGAGTTAAACTAACTTTTTGCCTTTTGGAAGGGAGAAACAATGTGTGTATACATAGATCTACCTTTCTTATACACAGTTTCGGGTGCAGCTCTGTTTTAAAAGCTAAAGTAATTTAGCAAAAAGACAAGACAAACTTAACACATAAAGTTAAGTAACGTTATCCCAGTTTAGTCACGGAAGTGGCTTTTCTGAGGAAAATACGCCTTACAAGTTAAGGCGGGATTCCAAATTCTTCATGAAACATAAATAAATTATTGTCCTAGTTTGGAATTAGGTAGCTTATATGGCTTAAAGAGAGATTGCTTGGGAAAGGAAAACATGTCTGTGGCCTGTTCTGGTGGGAATCCTGTGGATTTCTTGAATTCCCTAAGGAGAATGGATGGTGAACGCTGGTGCTCTTTTTTTTTGTCCTTTTTCCGCACGAATAAAACCGCAGCTTTCAATCTCGAGTTTCGGTAGGTGGCGGCATCTCAACGTTTCAACAGGAAATTACGTTCTAGAGAAAGTCACCCCTTAGACTACAACTCCCAATAAGCACAGCAGAAAAGACACTGTGCTTCATTTTGTACAAAGGTCAGCAAATACAACACGCCGATTGCACTCGCTTGGTGAGTGACTGTATGAACATTTATTTTTAAATGCCTCATAGAATCAGCAAATGTTCATAAAAACTGATTGTTAGATTGAAAAATGTATTTCTTGTCCTTGCTTGTTTGAAAAGTATTTATTGTGCTTGTTTGTGAGGCTGAAAAATGTATCTATAGTGTATCGTACTTGCAAAGTGTTAAGGTGATTTACAGAAGTACTTGAACTGATCAGTTTTTGTTGTGTTTTGTGCTGAAAAGATACGTGCGACAAAAAAAGACCCCCAAAAGCTTTCTCTGCCTTCAGGGAGTGCATAAGATTTGGATAGCCGGGGGGGAGGGGTAATAGTGCAGTGGTTTCTGTGAGAAGCATCTAGAAGTTTACCAGGTGTCCGACAGAGCTAATGCCAGCCAGATCCGAGACTGAGCAGCTGCTGGCCAGGGCCAAGCCCATCAGTGGTGGCAGTAGCATCTCTAGGATAATGTGTTTAAAAAGTGGGGAAAAGTTGTTGCACAGGAGCAATTGCAGCCAGAGAGGAGTGGAAGGAACAGCTCTGCAAACACCCAGGTCAGTGCAGAAGGAGGGGAAGGTACTCCAGGTGCTGGAGCAGAGGTTCCCCTGCAGCCCATGGAGGTCCATGGTGGACTGGATACACACCTGCAGCTTGGGGAGGACCCCATGCCAGAGCAGGGGGATGCGTAAAAGAGGCTGCGACCCCATGGGATGCCTGTGCTGGAGCACAGTCCTGACAGTAACTGTGGCTCATGGAGAGAGGAGCCCATGCTGGAGCAGGTTTGCTGCAGGACTGGTGCCCCTGCAGGGGACCCACACTTGGAGGAGTCCTTCATGAAGGACTGCACCCATGTATGGGACCCATGCTGCAGCAGTTTCTGAAGAACTGCAGCCTGTGGGAAGGACTTGGAGAAGTTGGTGGGTCTTGATACATAAGCTGTAACTGACTTAAAACCATTAAATCTTTTATGTATTAGAATAGAAAGAATTTTTCCGTTCAGTTTCTTCAGAAGTCTGATTTATTGAATCTGTAACTGCCAGGGGAACACTGGTTTTGCTGCAACTTTGTAGGGAAAAGCTGCTGAGAAAATAGACAGGATTTCTGGGCAAAATCAGATAAATTAATAATTTGGTTTAAGATACAGGACACTGAATTTGGTTTGCAATCTGAGCCACAGCTTGGATTTGAGTATCTCTAGGTGACAGCATTGTTTGCTAGTTTAGGGGAGATTATGGTATCTTTATCTTAACTTCTCAGTGAAGTACTTGGTAATTTGGATTCATGTATATTTTTTTAAGACTTCAGGTTCTTGGGATGCCTTTCTACATTCATAGCTACGTAAACAAATTTTGCTCTGTGGGTTAAAAGTGCAGAAAGTTTTGCTTAGTGATAACCCAGTTAATAAATACCAGGTACTGCACTCTGACTGAAACACAATGGCTTCACTCTGAAACATCCTATTCAGTAGTTTGCTCCTTATGTAACGGAAAATCCACAGGAGAGAGAGGATTGCATTTGCTTTTTAGTTATTTGTCTGCAACTTTACATGCTGTTTTTCTTTAAACATGCCACAACGTTTCAAGGTATGTGCTTGGGCAGAAGATAGGAGGGCAGCATTTTGCCTTTTGGCTGCTACACACTAAGTAAGGTAGAGCATCCTGGAGGTTCCTTATTGCTTGTCCAGCATGCTCAGTAGTCCCCTGAGAGCAAGGAAGGTGAGAAGGGCAAAAGAGGACAGAGCTTTATTATTCTCTCCTGTGCCTTGTTGCAGCTGGGAATTTGCAGTGCTGGGAGTTTCCTGAGACAATTCAGAGTCAACACCAAGGCCCAGGGTATTGTGTGGAATTTATTGCAATCTAGGAAGTTGATGAGCTTAAGAGGAATAGACGGCAGACTTGCTTTCTAAGAACAGAATAGACAATGGAAACGCAAGGTTATGAACTACGGTGCTTCTGTTTTATCTTAACTTTTTTTTTTTCTGTTTAAGGCAAAACAAAGTCTGGCTTCTGCTATAAAAAAGCCTGGCTTTTGAGCTCAGATACCTTCTGATATTTTTTTAGCTTCTTACTGTATTAAAAAACTAAACCAAAACAAATATTGAGGCAGCCTCCCCTCAGCACCCTGCGTGACTCAAGGTCACACTGCAGCAAAACCGGAAAGTCTGTGAAGCAATTTGATGTCAGAGGTACTCAGAATCATGTCTAGTTTTTGGAATGCATTTGCATCTGATTCCCAGGAATGTTGTTGGTTTATCTTTTTGTTAAAGATTCTGTGACATCTTTTGTCTGCACAGATCAGCAGCATGGGTCGGCTTGATGGGAAGGTCATACTGCTGTCAGCAGCAGCACAGGGGATTGGACAAGCAGCTGCTATAGTAAGTGGGAAAATGTTCTCCTGTACCTAAGCTAGGTCTCTAAAGCTAGCTTGTCCAGAGACAGCCGCACCACCACCAAGCAAGTTCTTGAATTCCTAAACTGTAGATGAAGCCAGAACTATTCATTGAAAAAATCAGGGAATAACAGAGTCATTATATTGCACGCATTGTGCTGTTTGAGTTTCTGAAAGTCTGAGGCTCCAAGTGGTGACATCAGGCAAGGATAAGGGCAAGATTCAAGAACAGCTGCAACCGCTTTTTTAACAATACACATCTGGTACTGTCTGTAGGTTTAATCCTATATCTCTGCTGCTTTGCTCTGGAAGAAGATAAGGATAGAAGGAATATTTTCTGTTATACCCTATAGTAAAACAATGATACTTTATTTACGTTAATCACTGACATAACTAAGTCTTACATGATACCGACTGCACAGCTACAATATTGTTCACCATGAGCAGCTGTGAGAAATAATTTAGAATCAATTACTTGAACAGAATTCAACATATGTATTAACCTGGCTACCTTTTAATTCCTTTTGACCAGTTCTTCCCCTGCCATTTCATTCTTCCATAGCAGATAGAGAAGCTAGTGAGGTTATCTCAGTATCTCTGTATTGTGGTCAACAAGCCGGGAAAAGCTCCTGTAAGAAGGATTTCTGCCAATCCTAGTTAGTTTCATATGCATGCAATTAAGAATGCAGGAGACTGCTAGTCTTGGCACTTATGTTAAAACACTTAGCCCAAAGGAGTAGATGAGTGTAAATTTGTAAATACCCAACAAGCATGGAAGGAAGACCATTTTTGTTAAATGTCACTGTCCTTTTAAGCTGCACTTGAGACGCTTATTTTGAAGATTAGGGGCTACAGTCTGAGATGTCAGAATAATTTTGACACAGAGGTTACTTTGTTAGCATAGCTGTTGATTTATCACAGTGCAGAGAAAGCAGGCTTTGAGGGGAGCATCAAGAATGAGAGAGTATCTCCGGTTAAGTGCCAAAGAAAGGCATGTTTGTTTTAATATTGCTATATTCCTATGGTTTGGTTGCAAAGTATTTTCATAAAGGTTCTGTATTGCCATTTATTTTTATGACTTGTGCCTTTATCTGTCAAATCCCATTTAAATCAAACAAGACAGACGATTCTAGCCCTACCTGTTTGTAACAGGCTTACTACTGTCCATGCAGCTAATAAACATAATAATAGTACCAGTTGTCTTAGTTTGATTACTGTTATTGCACTGTATTTATGGATTCCATAATTTAAGGAAAAGAAGTTAACTCTTGTCTTGTATCACATACAGTTACTTAGTTGTCCCCAAGATGTGTGGTAATTGATGCCCATTACTCCCCGCCATGCCCTAAATGAAAAGTGAGAGATCAACTGCCTTCAGCCAACTTTAATTCAAGCCAAAAACAAAAGGAAGATGAAACAGAATTTATTTCTGGTAAGATCTGGAATACCTAAATATAAACTGCTTCTCTTGTATTCTGCAGGCTTTTGCAAAAGAAGGAGCCAAAGTCATTGCTACAGACATCAATGAGCCTAAGCTGCAAGAGCTGGAGAAACATCCAGGTAAATGACCTACAGTAGTTGTTGGTTCAGCTCTTGCAAGTTTTGGTGTAGAATGGCTGAAATCTAACTTGAAGATAGGGCAAACTTCAAAAGACCAGAAAAGGAAAATACCCAGACTAATTCTTAGGTGTTGGCATTGCTTTATTCTGTGATGTGGAATGGCAAAGATTCAGCATGTAACACACTGCAACATCAGCATATCAGACAGAGTATTATTCAAGGCATGAGAAATAACTTGAGTTTTTTGTGTCACAGAAGCAGCTCATTTCTGATTCCCAGAGTGGCACCTGTTTCAGTTGTTTTTTAAGGTCACTAGGCTAATTGTCAAACACAGCACTCTAAAAGGCACAGAATGCTTTTCACTCATCCCAACAGCTAATATCCAGCTTTACAAAAAGTAAATTTAGTGTCTTGCATTTCCATGGCACGTAGTTACAAAGGAATGCATGAAGAGGATAGCTGCCTACTAGAGTTTACTACGTCTTCAGAAACTAACCCCGCAACACTAGGTAAGCCTGTTCCATTTGCACAAATGTTCAGGCCTGAAGATTACTTTCTTACTGATGTCACAGGAGCATACTGCAAGGAGCAGTTTTGCGTAGTTGTGTTTCTTAATCATAAGTGATGCAAGTGTGCACCATCATATAAAAATAATTTTTCAGTCTTGAAATAAAAAGTAAGACTTGGATGTATTTTACAACTGAAAATTCTTCCAACTTAATTTGATGGAATGAATTGGATTTAAGGAATTCCTGTTATAGGGTGACAGTCAAGTATGCTAAAAGCACTTTTCTCTAGTGCAGCTTTTAGAGTGAACGTTGGTCTCTGTTGACTGGAGTTAACCACAAGCAATCTCTTTGTGACTCTTTGGGAACTTTAGGA